TACTACCTTATAGTTGTCTCACCAAAGTGATTTTAGTGTCCCTTATCATCCTGAACTTTTTTTCTTGTGAAATTCTTCGGTTTTCTATAAATCTACACTTTAATTAAAAAACTAACTCCGCTAGTTTGGCTCCCGCTCTAGCTCCGCTCTGATAAGCAGCAGCTGCTTGGTCAAAACGTTGCTGAGCCCCACTGAGCACGTGCATGAGAGCCACACACGCGTAACTGACGCAACGCATCATGGGAATATGTCCGGGAGGACCAGACGATGCCCAAATATGGGCGAGTTTCGCTAATCTTTTGGCCTCATGTATGTCCCATGCGCTACTGAGCACAAGCCATGGATTTGAATATGGCGCCATCTTGGATCACTGAGGCTTGGCTGCGGTGCTATGGGTGACCCCTTGTCCATGCTGGAGAAGGGTTTAAGTAAACCATACCTTATACCGAAAATAAATCGTAATAGATTCATGGATTTCCCAGCCTGCCTTCCCAAGATACAGGGCAATGCAATGTAGCATTTCTTTTATTAACAGAAATGAGAAAAGCCAGGCTACTCAAACCACAGGGGCCACATAAACCAAACTGTGCAGCTAACTTCCTTTTACGGTCAACGTGTGTATCCTAGCCAGGCATCAGACTCAGCAACAGATTTTCCAACTTTTCCTTGTTGGACATGATACAGGCGGTAACTACATTGTAACATACTAGAGATTGATGAGTTATTTCATGGCCAATTATTATATTCTTATTTTCACCTACTGAAAATTCCCTTAATTATTGCTGTGTGAGTAAGATGGATGAATTGTATCTGTCAATCTATTCTTATAATTGCAGACACATTAAGGTACTGTCCTAATTCAAATAAACTAAAACAAATAGAAAATATGACAAACCTACAATTAGAATAATATTTTTATAAGCACACTTGTGTTTTTGTGACAACCATGTTTGAGCCAATCACAGGAGGCAGGTGAAAAGGAGGGCATTTTGATAAGACAAATCAAGTCAATAAAACTGAGGAAAACTTGTAACCTACATAAGTTTATAGTTCCATTAGATTATCCAGGGTTCATCAGATACCAGTGTACTGCTTTACCCAAAGCCCAACAGTTTCCTGTGTTTGTTTTCCCATTAGAACTTCTTATATAATCTTTGAACAGCATTAAAAAGGGGTCTAATCAGATCACACACGATATTGATAATTTAACTAAAAAGGAATGGAGGGAAAATTAATTCAAAAGGATATTCAACTGAACTGCAAGACGCTGTCTATAACAATATATTCTGATGTGCAATTATTATTTAGTAGGATTGGAAAAATTATACATATACATACATTTGTGTGTAACTCTTGTTTGTGTACAGAATAAAGAGATTCTAGTCGTAAAGTCAACAATAACAGGATTAGTAGAAACCAGCAGACTGAGGTTGAAGCTATCAGGAAAATGCTAGCTTGGTGGTCAGAGACAAATCCTTGGAAACAGATTACTGACAAGTCAGGAAAGTCGATACTTCTTTGACCAGGAGATTATATGATTTTCTATTGCATAATATATGACCACTATATATATAAAAGTGTAATTGGTGGAGTAACCATAAGAGTAGAGGCTGATGGCAATAATACGCCAGAGGACAATAGACTACAGAAATTGAACTTTTAACCGCTACCACAATATACATAAACAAACTTACTAACCCTTTATGCGGTAAGACGTCAGCGTCTTCCAACTAGCATGACATAAAAGTATAATATCATATTCTAAACGTTCACACGCAAGGATGAATTATTCTTGACCTGCAAAATGCACACTCCACACAGCACACACTAGCAGAGAAATCAGAATCAATACACAATGAATATTAAATATTGTTATTACTTTTCTCTTGTACACGAATGTGTAGAAAACTAAATCTAACCTAAATTCTTTCCAACTGGGAGCATTATGGTTTTGAAACCAGACGAGCCCGTCTCAGAACTGACAACAGGGCAGGAAATAGTGGGAGCTCAGCTAAACGTCAGTAATGCCAAGCTGCTGAAAGCTAAGGGCTAGCGTTAAATGCTAACCACTAGCATCTCCAGCGCCATAGACATGTATGTCTGCGGCTAATGTAGCTAACAGTTTAGCAAATGTTCCTGCGAGCCAGACGTGAGGCAGGGCTCGAGACAAAAAAATTCCACGCTAAACACAGAGTCATTTCATGCACGAAACCCTGCCCTTCATGGCATTATACAGCTTTATAAAACTTTCCAAACTGTAGACAGAGGCCTGATAAAAGCGACCCGAGCCCTCCGTGAGTGTGACCGACAGAGGGGATCGTTGCTGCGGTCAGCTGAGCGCTCACAGCCGCCTGCCGCTAACGGAAGACTTCTGCTTGTCAGGGTTCCATGGAGAAACTACTTGGCTCCTCAAAATGTTACATTCAGCCATGTTATGGTGTTGAATGCAAAAGGGTAACAGAAAATACAGAGAAAAACAGCGGCCATTCCGGAGCTGAACAAAAGAGTGCGTTCATTCTCGCCACCGAAAATTAACACTTAAAGGTAAAACCTTTTAAAATAACACACTGACAGCGTTCCTACATCTGAAAGAACACAAATGATTGTATCCAGAGTGAAGAGGGCCGCTGTTGTTGTGGTAATATAAGTGTTTTTACCTTCAGAGGTGTGACTCCGCCATCCTAGTGCTTCCTCCTCTCTTTCCTCGCTCCCTCCCGCTCCTGTCACAAACTGCGTCATTCACACGCCTCAGCGCTGCTATCGCGAGAGTCACACAGCCGTCTGTCATGGTCATAGACTGTACGGATGTAACTCACCTGAACACTGCACGCTAGCACACTTTTGAGGACTTTTACATTATAAACCATGGTTTGAAATAATACAGTGGATTACCCATATCATCTGTGATCTATGTTATTTATTTTGCACAGAAATTACAAGGTTGACAAGTTTACCCATTAGAAAATGTTATTCTGATCATTTGGACAATAGAGACATGTATCACATCAATCAAGTCAAGCAATCTGAGATGTGTTATTATTGTTGTTTACTATACATAAATGATGTTACATTACTATGTGTACGACCAACTACTAGAATATGAACTTAAGAGCAGACTGAAACTGTAAGGAGTGTGAATGGGTAAATGGTTTAGGAATGTATAAAGCTATAATATGACGCGGCTGTATCGAATTCAGGACACAAATACCGCTATTTGTTTCACGTTTATTCTCAAAACAATTATAAAAAAGTGTGTAAATAAGGCAAATAACCACTAAAATTGGGTATGCATGTAAAGTGAGTTTCTTTGATTTTAACTTGTAATATGTAACCAATTTTCAATTTTGCACTACTGAGTTACTTCAAAATAACAATAACAAGATAGTTATAATGTTTGGTAACCCCAGGGTCTTATATTCAATAACCACCAGGTGTCAGAGCACACTACAATAAACAAGTTGGTCACGTGATTATCCCGGAACTGTTGTCATGACAATTGCCCAGGTTGATCTTCCTGCAGGCATCCCGCGAGGTAAGATTAGCTAAGCTAGGTAAATAATGTGGTATTAATATTAACGCTACAATTCAAAGGGAGATGCATATGAAATGTTCAGATGTAACGTTAACGCTAAGCTAGAACTGTTGTTCGAGGTTGGCGTGAGCAGGCTATTGCCAGTAAAGATAAATTCGCCTAGAGATAGAATTAACGCTAGGCTATTCACTCTGGCAACTCCTTATCCTATGAGAGCTAGGTCAATGGGTTAAAACTATCTGGATACAATAGGCGCTGAAAGATGACTAGTTGCTGCAGATTTGTTAGCCACCATGGTCTGTAAAAACCTGCTAACGGTATTCTAGCAATTTCATCTAGCTAACTAATCTAAACGTGTTCAGATTTGTGTACACGTAGAACCTGTAGTGTGCATAAAGGCTTCAGTTCCACTTTCCGTTGCGATAGATTAACCTTCAAAAGTGATGAAAACGTATTAGTATACTAGTTTCAAGTAGCTGATGTCACTCTAGTTAACGCGCAGAATTGTCCCAATTTCCCTCTCTCAACAGCTTCCAGGGTCCACCATGCCAGAAGTGAAGTCAATATTCAGAGAAGTGCTGCCAAAAGAAGGTCTGTGCCATAAAACCTACCATGTATATTTGAAAACATCAATCTCTATTAATACAACAAAAACAGGTGTCTGTGAGTGGACCCAATACAGTCAAAGTTTGTCACGATCATAGCTGCTCGTGACAAACTTTGACTGTATTGGGTCCACTCACAGACACCTCCATAGTTGAAGAGCATAATCTTGTGATTACATTTTCAGTGCTTTCTATAAAAATGAGAGATAATATTATGTCTTTCTCTTTTATAGGACAACTTTCTATGGAAGATGTCCCTACAATGGTGCTCTGCAAGCCCAAACTGCTACCATTGAAATCAGTGACACTTGAGAAACTGGAGAAAATGCAAACTGAAGCTCAAGAGGCTATCAAGCAGCAAGAACTGGCACTGAAGGAGCAGGGTTAGTGACAGCTCGGATAATGAAATCTAATGTAACTAATGTAACGTTTGAGGGACAGAATGTTAAGGTTGGAGCCTAATCATTGTGAGGCATTGTCCAAGGAAGTTGCAATTGTACGGAATTATGTATAAGAAAAACACAATATTTGACTCAGTTTTGCATGTTAAAGCTATTTATTATAAAGATTTTGCCACAACGTTGTAATGAATGTAATGAACTGAACAAACAATGATGTCTAGAAATACTGTAAGCGGAACAACATGGAATGGCTGACACAGGTGTGGCACTTTAAGGGCTAGCTTATGTAAAAGTTTGCATTAAATAGCAAGTTATCAACTTTGCAATTAAAAGTGCTTTTTTCTTCATGCCACACCTACATTTTGTAATGCATTATTTCACAACAAGGAGAAATGTATCCAACAATTTCAAAAATATGAAATAGAAAAGTAGCTTTTTCCTTTTGGCACAATAAATGACACTTCAGCAGCTTTCAAGTTTAATAACTCCTCCATCTCCCTCACTGATGAACCTCTTTCTGCCTCTGGAGAAAATATATCAACAAAGTAAGTCTTTCCCATTTCAATATTTATATTTCAATATTTACTGAGCAATACAAACTTACCGACATGGACAAAGATCTTTTAATCTGTCATTAATTATCCCTAAACTCAAGCTTTTATCAACAAACTGCTCCAAGATGAAGTGTGCACGTGGAGCGTCTATGTTTATTTCCGATATGTCCGAGTAAACTCTTTCATAGCCCTGTAAAAAAAAGAAAACCAATGTAGTATTTGCAGGACATGTAGTAACAGATACAGACACTGAGGGGCAGCATACCCTTCTGAGCTGGTCCACGGTTATGATGGTAGATTCACAGAGAGACTTGAGCAGACTAAGTATCATATGCAGTGTCTTCTCTCCTCTTGATTCCAGCACCATAACAATTGCCTATAAATCATGTTTTATAAATTTAGCGTGAAAATATATCCCACTATAACCACACACACACACACACAAAACTTACCTCATAAACAAACTCATGATGGAAATGTGGAACCTCAAGTTCCTGCAGACATTTTTCAGCCTCTTTCATGTCTCCAGAGAGAATGTACTCTTTCAGAAGAAGGTTCATCTAAAAGGATTTATATGTACATGTTGAAGATTTCTGATGAAAACAGAAGTAAACACAAAGCACCGTATGCTCTTACCTCTCTGATGAGCTGCACAACTGGCCTCTGTCCCCCTCCAGTCCCCCACTGACTGTCGAGTCGGAGACCACCTTTACTCATCTTCAGCAATACAGCAGCTCTATCGAGTGCTGCCCTGAAGAGCACATCAGGGGCTTAAGATTCTCATGTACGGCACAATCTTTCAGATTTTCAGAAAACAAACATTTATCAGACCTTGTGTATTCACAGTCAACCTTGCCTTTGTAGCCATCAATATAGTTCCTACACAGTATTTTGTCATGGACAGCGCGTGCGATGAATTGGCCCACCAGCTGCGAAGAAAGAAGAAATTAAAAGTTACTATGTCGTGTCAAAAACAGTTATTCATAACCGGTACTTTGAACCATTATTAAGAATAGACCTACATTTCATAGTGTTGGTAAAGTGTGTATAACATTTGAAAGGATTTTTAAATTTGACTTTTGACTGTTGGAAATGAAGAACACTGGTTTTATAATCTAAATTAGTTTTAACACAAAGGACACCAGTTTGTGGAGGGGAAAAAATAGTCAAACAGCAGAGAAGAGCATCCTATAACTCACTGCTTCTCAATTATTTTCTGCCTGGCCGTGTTACGCCCACATCATTCACACATCCTCCTCTTTACAAAACATATACTTAAAGATGTGGAAAGAATGGTTTTACTTTGGTTTTGTATGATGATAACTGAGCAAAAGAATGAATAATGAAGACTATTCCATTAAATACTAAAGAAGAGCTACGGTAGCTAGAGGCCCATACTGATGGTGAGGCCCATAGCTTTGCTGACTTTGCGTTTTGCCAGAACAATGACCAGCAAAACAAGCTCAAATACGCTCTTCACTGGACCGCTGCTTCTCACACAAAGACCGAATGGTTTGTGTTCCTGTATTTGGGAACATTTAGGGCACCTGAGTAAAACATACGGTATTCAGAGTCCATTTTTAGTGACCCCCTAATCGTTTTATTTACTATTATTAATCTGCAAGCATTAATCACTGCAATTTACAGTATACATAATTTTAAAACCATCTTCAAGAAAATTACATTATTTACAATGCCAATCAGTCATATATTTCATTTAGTCCTGTTTTGGTTAAATCCAAACAGATTACATCATGTTGAATTAAAAATACTGGTAATACAAAAAGACAATATTCCATTAGTATTCCAAGGAAAAATTTAAAAAAGTTAAAAGTAGAGGATCCCCCTCAATCAGGTCGATTGAGGGTGATCCTCTACTTTTAACTTTTATATCTGAAAATGTGGATCTAAAGTTGTGACAAAGACCAAAAATACATGCAAACTAGTGATAGAACTAAACTGTTTTGAGAGCCAGGAACTAGGTACATGGATTTTATGACATGGTTTCATTTTCTCTGGTTTAAATTAGGTACCCTCCGCTTTGTCTTTTCTTTACTAGACACTTTACTCAAATCAATGCTCAAATGTTGAATATCGTGTATAGGCAAAAACATACTTTAGTTGTTTTTTACAATGTGGAGATAGTAGGTGCCTGTGATGCGTTAGGCTGCTCACCTGAGAGGCCCCGGGCGTGTCCAGGACCAGGTCAGGGAGTTCCAGCAGCAGTCTGTCGAAGCTGCTCTCCATATCGCTGTGTGTGAGCACGGGCCCGCAAAGGTCAGCCAGTAGGCGAGACGCAAGCTCCCTGTGACTGGCTTTAGACTCCAGAGCCAGTGCCACAGCCAATGGGGGCACCTCACTACGCATGGGGCCAAGGTTCATGTCCGCCAGCAGCTCCTTCACACAAAGAGTTCTCAAGTGAGACATAGGAGTGGGTTTGTCAAAAGTACCTGAGCTTTATCAGATATTATTGTTGTGATACTAGTATTACAGGTATACTTCACAACTAAATACTCATTTAAAGCCGGAACCAAACTGTTATGAAGGCGATGATGGTTACATGGATATTTTATACATTGTTCATTCAAAACTAGGTAAATCCATACAACTGATTTATTTTATTTATATGATTTTTATATAAATCAGAACTAAAGTGTGTGATTTATTTTTCTATCACTGTGGTATTAAAAGTGGTATTTGGCATTACATATGTTCATTCGTCTGAGCCACAGTAGTAACCTAAATAGTACTTACAACTACTTCATTTGTGTCTCCGTGTTCAAAGTACTCTTGCACTATGGGTGTAAGAGTCTTTTCAAAGTCCCTCTCATCCAGCGGAGGTACTACAGTCTCATACACACAGTTTTCCTGAAAACAAACAGTCAAACATGGATCACATTTTCAATACATTTGATTAATTTAACAATTTGGTTTGTATACATGTATATCATGGAATTGCATCGCTGTGCAAAAACATGATGACAATTTTACCTATTCTCTACAGATTGTCACAAAAAATACCCAATATTGGTGCTTTTTGACTTTACATGATTACAGTGCCCAATGTAGTTTTATCATTCATCCCCTCAAGCATTAGTTAGAGGAAACAGTTTATTCTCAGGTATCTGTGTACCTGTGAAAGCTGAACCGTCAGCTTTCACACTGCTGTGCTTACAAAGTCACTGAGGCTACGTCACCGCATGGGTGGGGGGAGGCGGGATCACAGGCAGAGGAGCAGGGATCAGCTCGTTTCAAATGAGGTGACATCACCTCTATGCAAGAAATGGCTATGATTTCACAAGTTTTGAGTGTTGTATCACCCAAAATGTTATCACACATGCTTAGGATGGACTGTGGAAAATGAAGAGCAATATATGGGACCTTAATACTCATTCAATAATTCATTGTTTTATTCCAAATTCAAGTACTTAGTAACTGTAGTTAGGGAAGTGCAGTAGAACGTAGATTTGTAAATACCTGAGCTTCATCATAGTTGGGATCTTTCTCATCCACCTTGGTGGGCTCATACACCTCCCCAGATCTGCCCCATACTCCTTTGCCACCAGCTCCACCTGTGGACAAAGTACACCATACATGACAGCCTAAAGAAGTATTAAACTATAAATAACTTCATATTATTTTTACTCAAACTATAAATCTTCATTACAGGAATATCAAGTGCTGAAGCTTGTGAAACCGACCAGACACACTTCTTTAAACACATTACACGAACATCTGTTATGTCTGACCACCGCATTAAGAGTTGAAGGCTTTGTACAGGACAAAAGCTGATTGTGCGACCACTTTTAAAGTCTTAAGATAACACTCCCACAAGCCAGCCCAGGTTTGCTAACATTGCATTAGCTCTTCAATTCTGAAAAGGACATGTACAATGAGACAGGTTCATCGATGTGGTATAACTAAAACATGTCACTTGCAAAACTATTTAAATACTATTAAATACTAAATACATGACATAACTCTCCTGCATCCTTGGCATTACAGGAGGGTTTAAGGACAGTGGTGATTTTGATCATTGGTCATTGGCCCCCGATGGACACATTTCTTGTGTTCCTGTTTGATTCTCTGAACTGCACTGGTGAAATGTATTGCTCCTTGATGTGTGTAGTGCGTACCTTTCTTTGGTAGTCCTCTGCCCTTGCCCAGTCTGGACTTTCTGTCCAAGAGTTTGTTTTTGGGACTTGCAGGGGTGCTGTTGGTTCTGCTGACGTCCCCATTGTCACTGAGGGAGTCTCCTCTGCCAGAGTCCCGGGAGGAGTTCTTCCGCAGCTTCCTCTTGGCTTTGGCCTTGACACGGGCCTCATGGATGCTGTTGCTTGATGAGGAAATCCAGTTGCCGTTGACTTCATTGATATTTTTGTTTGATAATCCCCCATTGTCCTCTTCTCCAGAGTCACTCAGGTCAGCAGTCTCTGAAGAGGACAAGAACATTATCAATGTATAATATTCTTGTAATCGATAAAGTTCGTTACGATAAAGATCGTAAAAGGCTGATTAAATTCCCTTGCATAATAAAACACACATTAGAGTCTATAATCTGTCCAAAACTCACCAACGGGGTTTGCGTTGAGCCAGGCCTTACATTCAGCTGCCATGATCACAATATCTAACGTCAGGCGAAGAATAAATGGCAAAGACAGACGTCCAAATTGTATCTGTAATAACAAAGACCTTTATTGCAGACGACATATATCCATAGATAGTGTCCACACAAGATCACAGACCCAGTCCCCTCCCTCCTCTCAGTCAAACCTAGTTGTTGATAAACAAAAGCTACGTGTTCGAGCCATAGACTGTAAATATTAAACACAGTTGTGATCAAATGAATTTACGTAGTACTTATGACAAACGTCTAATATTGTGAGCGATATTGCATTTTATTGTATAGCATTTTTGTCGATCTAAAAAAAAAATCAATATTTGTTTGTATCTATGTTTATATTATACTCGGTTACACCACGTACATAACGTCATTATACAACATAGGAACCCAGATAGTACGCTTCAACCTATAGAATAGCAAACTCACCGTGTGTCGGAGCTTGAAAACTCTGATACGACGTCTGTTTTGTTTTGTCTGCCCAGTAACAAGAGCCAGTGCCTCCGCGTTTGTCTTTTAACATTGGCTGGAGAGCAGCGGGGGTTCAAAGCGCACAGCCAATGGAAAATCACCACGGGACGATTATCTTCTGGCATTTTCTCTGACGTATTTTGTCAGTGGAGAAGCAATACTGCCCCCTGTCGGTGACTAAAACAATCCCCAAACGTCTGGTCTAATGTAAAAAAAATAAAAAAATACAAGTATGGTCAAAAGCATGGATCTATAATAATAACAAAGCCTCGCTGCCTGACTCCAGATTACAGAAAATGTACAGTGGAACAATGGCAAGTTTTGGCGATGCTCGTGGTCTAAAGTAAACCTGTTTGGCCATAATGATATAACGCTACATTTCTAAATTTGGAAAAAGCGGGGTGCATGGGGGTGTGAGAAGTGTCATTCTGTCGGGATTTTATGTTGGAGGAGTAACTGCACTTTATAAAACAAACATCACAAAAAAGGAATACATTTCAAAAAACAAAATGGCAACGGACTTTTGCTCCCCTTTTCAAGTTAACGTATTTGCAGAAAGGGCAAGCACTATTTGCGACTCACGGCAACTTCCGGTGACTCGCGTGACTCAGGCGCTGTGAGCCGCGACTCAGCAGCCAGAAGTCGTGGCTCACGGTTATCAATTTAGCTTTTTAGGGGTATCTGTTGATTATCAATGACACATTGTGGATCTGGAGGCATATATTTACAAGTAACCAGTATGTTACACACTCTTCATCATCTGGTATGTGTTTATATAGCTCTCCATGTTCGTTAACCACCCAGATAGCAAAAGGACATCGTTTCAACATTGATTTAGGGTCAGATGGTTGACTTTTGGTTGAGGTTGAAAGAAAAATGTTGATTCAATGTTTTATTACAGATAATAAATCAATAATTAAAAAAAGAATGTTGAATCAACACTATTTTATGGACATAAGTTCAACCATTGAAAGTGTAACATTGAATCAACCTTATTTTACAGATAGAAATGTAACCATTGAAAGTGTAACATTGAATCAACCTTATTTTACAGATGGAAATTTAACCATTAAAAGTGTAACATTGAATCAACCTTATTTTACAGATGGAAATTTAACCATTGAAAGTGTAACATTGAATCAACCTTATTTTACAGATGGAAATTTAACCATTGAAAGTGTAACATTGAATCAACCTTATTTTACAGATGGAAATTTAACCATTAAAAGTGTAACATTGAATCAACCTTATTTTACAGATGGAAATTTAACCATTAAAAGTGTAACATTGAATCAACCTTATTTTACAGATGGAAATTAACCATTAAAAGTGTAACATTGAATCAACCTTATTTTACAGATGGAAATTTAACCATTGAAAGTGTAACATTGAATCAACCTTATTTTACAGATGGAAATTTAACCATTGAAAGTGTAACATTGAATCAACCTTAAATTACAGATGGAATTTTAACCATTGAAAGTGTAACATTGAATCACTGTTAAAAATCGGTTGTATATTTTTTTTGGTTGAAAAATTCCCAATAAATCAATGTTGTTTCGATATAAGGACTACAAGCCCGGGAGATTTTAGTTAAGTGTACAGCGCCCCTGCATCTCGGAGACGGAGACGGAGAAAGTCAGAACTGGTAAGTGCTCATCGCTTCTAAACTTAAATCATCGTCTTGGGTGTGATCAGTGAGCTAATAAATAGAATGTAATGTTGCTTTAGGCTATGTTATGCTATTTTCTTAGTAGTTTGTCAGAAGCTGATGTGTAACCAACATTATGCCAAGCTAACGTTAAACTTTGCCACCAAAAAAGCTCAGTTTAAGGGGCTGTTTTTAGCTGCTTACAATTCCTCAGCACCCGGTTGATAAGGGAACAAGGATGGTATTAAGGTTGTGTTATGCAAATGGGTTTTATTAGGTAGTTAATAATTCGCTGCTTAGTTTAACAATAACTTTCCCCACACAATAGAGGGGGCTAAAGCACTTCGGTAAAGCCACGATCTATGATTAGCACACTGCGATTTATAAGGTTAAAGTTGAATAGCCTATAATTTAAAATAAAAAAAATGTCATGGTAAGACACAAGGGGTAATGCCAATTAAATATTTATTTGTGAGTAAATACAGCATTTCACATACACTTCATTTGTACTAGTCATTCACTGTCAGACAGAAAAATCAAAAAGCATTAAAACCAAATCTAAAAGCTTTAATAATGATTTCCATTTCTCTTTTACAGAAGTCCCAAGTTGATATCACGAACAACAAAGCAATCAAGTAATGCAATTTTTACAGCACCATCTCAAATGCAATTAGGATGTCTTCATATTGTGTGTTCTAAAATGGTCTGTTCTGTTCTTTCTTTCTTTTTTTTAAAGAAATGCACTACTGTCTGGCAATATATCAATTTGTTAGGGTCATTTATTTATTATTGAATGAATTGTGAAATAAAGGCCTTAAATGTAATTAAAACGCATTAAAATGTATTCCAACAGGCATTAATTGTACATATCTTTGAAAATAGTGATGTTATATAACTGTGTTACTGCAAATATTCATTGAAAATACAAAAAAATAAGCTCCAAAACACACTGAACTCCAGTTTTGAATGAAATTGAACACATTTTTTGGCACAAATTGCTCGTTGTGTATAATTCCGTTAAATATTGAAAATGATGCTGTGTACCAATGTTCCTCGTGACACTAACCAAATCTGCACCACTTCTACAAACGTTTTATTGCTACACTACAATTACCTGGATAGCCTTAATTATGATGGCCCTGTAAATAAGTACTTTTATGAAACAAAGTATTATACAGTGGTTACATTGTGTTGGCAACAAATTGAGGGAATATACATTCGCATTGAGTAACCTTGTGTATGAAATGCGGTATAAATTAACATTGACTTGCCTATAATTCATACATTCTTGACTGGATCCTGGGGAGATATGTATTTATTTATTTTACTTTTATAGTTTTACACTTAAAACCTACCCCAATATATCACCATAAGCAATGGGTTTTCTATTTATTTTTGTGGTATTTGGTCAAAACTCAATCTCCTGTCTCTTCTCCATGTCTCATGTGCTTCTGCTCCAAATGCTTTTTGTTTGTTTGTTTTTAATTTACTGTACATTCTTCATGGAGGCCGGTTATTGTTTTTTTTACTATATTTATTCATGGAAGCAAAAGTGCTGAAGTGCTGGGCTGTACGTGTTTCGTAATGCAAAAAAACAAAAAGATGTAACTTATGCTGTAATACCTGTCTTGGGACTGCAGGAGGCACTGTCACGCTATAGGCACCAAATAACGATTTAAATGGGGCATGCGCAGTAAAATTTTGTAATGTAAATACCTTGGTAAACTTGTCATTCTGAGTGCTATATGGATGCGTAATGTAAACAAACAACAGGAGGAGATGGATTATGCCTCAGATCCATATTGGACTGGTTATGCCTGTGTAAATGACTCAACATATGACCGCGGTGAATGTTTAGTGGTTGATTTAGGTGGTGACGCGGTAAGTAAACAATAATCCTCCAGATTTCAATCCATATTGTCCTAAAAAACATTTGATTTCGACATCTATTCAACTCCCAATGTTATTTGCATGACATGATTCCATGTCAGAAAAGATCAAAAATCCCTGTGTTCGATCTAGCATAAGAGCGCTTTCAATCGCAGTTCAACGTCATTTTTCAACATCTATTCAATCACAGGCCATAACACTATTTAAATGTGTTATTTTTAACCGTGAGTCACGACTTCTGGCTGCTGAGTCGCGGCTCACAGCGCCTGAGTCACGCGAGTCACCGGAAGTTGCCGTGAGTCGCAAATCGTGCTTGCCCTTTCTGCTGACATGAGTAGTTTTGTTGTTAGCATTGTTACGGACAGCGCAGCACATGGAGGTGACTCTGACATGAGTAGTTTTGTTGTTAGCATTGTTACGGACAGCGCAGCACATGCAGGTGACTCTGACATGAGTAGTTTTGTTGTTAGCATTGTTACGGACAGCGCAGCACATGGAGGTGACTCTAACTTGAGTAGTTTTTGTTGTTAGCATTGTTACAGACAGCGCAGCACATGGAGGTGACTCTGACATGAGTAGTTTTGTTGTTAGCATTGTTACGGACAGCGCAGCACATGGAGGTGACTCTGACATGAGTAGTTTTTGTTGTTAGCATTGTTACAGACAGCGCAGCACATGCAGGTGACTCTGACATGAGTAGTTTTGTTGTTAGCATTGTTACAGACAGCGCAGCACATGGAGGTGACTCTAACTTGAGTAGTTTTGTTGTTAGCATTGTTGTTAGCATTGTTGTTAGCATTGTTACAGACAGCGCAGCACATGGAGGTGACTCTAACATGAGTAGTTTTGTTGTTAGCATTGTTACAGACAGCGCAGCACATGGAGGTGACTCTGACATGAGTAGTTTTGTTGTTGGCATTGTTACAGACAGCGCAGCACATGGAGGTGACTCTGACATGAGTAGTTTTGTTGTTAGCATTGTTACAGACAGCGCAGCACATGGAGGTGACTCTGACATGAGTAGTTTTGTTGTTTAGCATTGTTACAGACAGCGCAGCACATGGAGGTGACTCTGACATGAGTAGTTTTGTTGTTAGCATTGTTACGGACAGCGCAGCACATGGAGGTGACTCTGACATGAGTAGTTTTGTTGTTAGCATTGTTACGGACAGCGCAGCACATGGAGGTGACTCTGACATGAGTAGTTTTGTTGTTAGCATTGTTACAGACAGCGCAGCACATGGAGGTGACTCTAACATGAGTAGTTTTGTTGTTAGCATTGTTACAGACAGCGCAGCACATGGAGGTGACTCTAACTTGAGTAGTTTTGTTGTTAGCATTGTTACAGACAGCGCAGCACATGGAGGTGACTCTAACTTGAGTAGTTTTGTGAAAGTGATTTTGTTAGAATCACACAACACTCAAAACTTGTCAGTTTATCAGAAAGGGCAAGCACTATTTGCGACTCACGGCAACTTCCGGTGACTCGCGTGACTCAGGCGCTGTGAGCCGCGACTCAGCAGCCAGAAGTCGTGGCTCACGGTTATCAATTTAGCTTTTTAGGGGTATCTGTTGATTATCAAT